AAATTTTCTGACAAAAATAGTTGATGAAAATTCGAGTTCGAATTCGAGTTCAAATTTTCATCAACTATCCATAGTCCTTGGGAAAATTATTTATTTTACACTATGAAATTTCTAATATTGCAGAACATATTGTAATGAATTTATTATTATGACCTTTCAGTTGAGTAAAGGATGTTCATTTTATTATCAAGCAGAGTTGTGGTTTGTATTTTAATACAAAAGTGGTGAATAATTAATAAACTAAGTTTGTTCTGTTGATTGAGGCTGATTATAGTAGCTACAATGTTAATTATTAAAAGTTCAATAATGAATTCTGTTTTTCATACTGTGGCAATGTCGAAAATGACCGTTATTTTTTATTTGAAAAAAAAAATACCGTTAAAAATTTAAATTTAAAAAACCGTTGAAATACTAATGCTAAAATAAACTTTGGAAATCTAAAGTAAAATCACGAATTAGACATGTTTTAACAAGTTTGCATATTTTTAACAGTTTTTTACATTCATAGGATCAGTAGGCAAGCATACGAAAGAGTGCTAAATTATTCGATCGCGATTTTCTACATGACTGAACACAACACTTATCCATAATAAAATATCAAATTCGTAAAATAAATCACTCAAATATGTTTTCAAATACTTTAAAATATCATAATTGATTAAATTATGACTGAAATTTTTATTTGTTTACTTTTATTTTTTGATTTTTTTCAACGGTCAAAAAAAATTTAAAATTTCGACTTTCCTTCGACATTTTTAAATCCTTCGACACTGAGTGTCGAAGGAATTCGACACTCAGGTTGCCACAGTATGCTGTTTTTGAGAACAATAAAGCTTGTTAACATGGTTAACATTATCAGCAGCAAATTTTAATTTCAAATACTGTTTGAGTTCGTTTGTGCTCTGCCTGATTGTTCTGTTTTTCTTTAACAGCAAATGTAAAGTGTCTAATAATTAAATTAAAGTTTTGTTTAATGTTCTGAATCAAAATAATGATAAGGGGTGTGAAACTGGGTTTTGCTACAACAATAATGAATTTCAAAATTACAAAATCCGGTAAAACTTTTAATATTGATAAAGCTCACAAAGTTCAAATTTACCATCATCTGCCTTGAATGCAGCTATATATGACAGCAACTATTTTTAATTCCAATTTGAATCATCGTATGTCTGATAATTGAATCTTTTCACACGAACAGTATGTTTCAATTCAAATAAAATGATTCAACAAAAAATGTTAAAAACTGCGCAACGTGAGATCTGAATTCAATTTTTCCATATGTGTCAGAATTTAGTTATAATGTTGAATGAACATAAATGTTGTTTAAATTCGTCGCCTAACGAAAGGATAAAGTTTTTTTAATTGAATTTCTTTCTCCTTCGCTCAACAATTTATTCATTTACATTTGTATTTGTGTAAATATTCATCGATGATTGAATTTATTGATATTCATTCAATTTCTCATCGAATGTCAAAAATAGATTATAAATAAATAAGCAAGTATTAAGCTTCACATTTATATTCCATGAACCCTCTTTTGCTTATATGATAATATATGTATATGGCTAAAAGATCAAAAATGTAACAATAAAAACATTTATAGTATCCATACTTATAAAAAGAATAGCAAAAATGAAAAATAAAAATCATTTTCATATAGACACAATCCGCTTAGGGCGATGCACATATTTTTTTTCCATTCATATTGATGGTTGGGATGATAAAAGCGCGGTTTTCCGTATTTATTTTTATTACAACCTACATTGACTCACTCTTAAAGCCGCTCTTCTACTTTTTACATTCTTTTTTGATTTAAATATTCAGATGATTTTATTAATGAAAATTTGTTGCTCGAGGAAAGCAACTGGAGTGTAAGGAATGAAAATAAAAAAAAAAAGTAAAAAAATCTCTGTTAAGCAAGTTTGCTATTTACATTTGATTTGAATTGAGATTATTTTTAAGGTCCAGTTTTCATTTTTTTGAATATTCAATTTCAACTTTTAGAAGATTTTTTTAAAAATAATGATTTATCCAGCTTAATTTTAATGAATCAAAAGTATGAAAACATTATTAAAAAACACCATTTACTTCAAGGACTTTCAAAGCATCTCCATCTTCAACATCTCGAATCCAATTTTCACAGTTTCCCACGGTCAAAAAGATTTAAAAGGGATTCTTTTATGATCAAGGTGTAAAAATTTTCTATGTTAATTAATTTTAAAAAAGCTCTAATCTGTTTGGGCACCTTTCAAAGCTTTTTTGCATTCTCTATCTTTGATTCCAGTTTGTTACTTCAGTTTCTAACTTTTAAACATTGCGTGGGCTTAAAAAGGGAGAAAAGTACAACCTTTTTATGTAACAAGATCGTTGACAAAATTTATTTTTTGAATCTGCATTTTTTTTGTATTGTTGAAATAAATAAGAAAAAAAAGGCACGTGAAGTTAAAGTGACAACGAGCAATAAATGTTTCTAAATTGAAGTTATTTGTATCTGAAATGGATTATTCAGATTGATCCGAGAGAGGTTGTTTTTATTGATTCTGGAAACTGAATCAGCAGTGGAAGCAATCGATAATTCTGGGTCTATACCAACTTTTTTAAAGCCACGTTTGTTTAAAAAATGTTAAATTCTAAACAAAAATTGACTTTATCGTGATTTTAATAAGCACAGCTAATATTTAAAGGATCTAGACTAGATATTTAATTATTAACGAGAAGCTAGTAGCTTCGCTAGATATTTTTCCTCCGATTAAACTTCCACTTTATATAAAATATGAACATCAACAATGAATCAGTAGTATTCTGCATTGTATTACTGCCCCACATTCTCTAACAGACAAAATAAGGCCACAATATCCGTTTCGCAGCATGAAAATTCCTTTAAAAATGAAATAAGCTTATCAAACAAAAGCAAATTCAAATTGAGGAAAATAAAAATAATCTGAGAAGAAAGGAAAGAAGATGAAAAAAGTGAAATATTCATCATATCTTCTTTACTTTCTCTGCCTTTATCTCTGCTTTTGTATTTAAAAACAACATTTTGAAACATAGCTGATATAAAAGAAACCTTCCTACATCCTGAATTTATGTTAATTTTTTTCATTAAAGGAAAATTTCAAGAGAAAAAAGAATTGTAAATGTTTAAAGTTTGCATAAAATTAATGCTGCTCGGTTTCTTTAGCAAAAAAATAATTAAGCTTATATAAACCCACTGTACTCATGCTGTATAGATCATTTGTCTGTTCAGCATTAAAATAAAGGGAGAAACTCACATCCTCATCTCCTTTTTCTTGTCATCTTATGTTTCACTTTTCATTCCTCTTCATCCATTTCCCCAATGAACTTTATGAGCGATGAATAAAGACTATATTGTACTACATATGTGTATATTTACAGCATACATAATGTTATTATCAATGAGAATTTTTCCATGAATTATTAATATCCTTAATGAGCAAATCTCGCAGTTATTAATATAAAAATTAATTTAACAAGAAAACTTCAACTTTTACAGCTAGCAAAGAAAGCTTTGCTTTTAAGCAAAAAAGTTTTAAGTGCTTTATCACATTAAATCCAGAAATGAAAACTTTCGGCAAGTTTTTAAGTTATTTCATAGCGTTGGCGGGCTTTATTTTCTTGACATTTACTCTGGGAAACATCTCAACATTTTATTCTGTGAATGTTATTTGATGAGAAGACTCTTTAAGGAAAGATTTAATGATCCTTGAAATTTTTTGTATCTTATATAATTGAACCTGTCAACCAAAAGAGAAAGAAATTGTATTAAGAAGTTTCATTGATTTTTTTTTTTTAAATCTAGTCTTTTGGACTTTAATCAAGTTTATCTTTATGAATTTTTGTAAACCAAGGTATAGAAAATTCTTCAAAAATTCAAATTGTTCATTAAATTCGCCTCAAAAACTTTTTAAATACTTATCTAGACATTTCCACAGGCATCTCAAATCTTTCCGATTACTTTAAAAAAATCTTAATTTAAAATTCAACGAAACTCATCAAATGAAAAATTAAAATTTATAACATGACATACTTTGTGGATTACTTTAATCACTTTTTCTAAGAACTCAAAGCTCATAAATCTGAACAAATCTCGTCATAAAAACATAAATTTCCCGCATCTTTAAACTTTATAATGTTTTTCATGACTAAACTTTCTTATCAAACTTGTCTTTTGTTGAAAATATCTTAATCAAATTCTGACTAAGGTTCCAATTTTATTTTCAAAGGAAATAATTTACATTTTATTTTACAAAGGTTTATTATGGAAAATATAAGCGAGTTTTATGAGAAAATTTATCGAGATTTTCTTTGTATTTTCATTGACTAGTTGCTTTCAAATAAAAAGAGATTATGTGTTGTTGCCAACACATTAATTCCTTTCATCCACCTACACAAAGTTCCGTAAAGACTTTTCCCTTTCATAATTCTTTTTGCATTTTATTGTTGTTAAGCTCAAAAGTAGGATCGTATTATTCAACAGAAATATCAAATGTTTTTAATAAATATCTGCTCGTGTGTCTATACTTGAATGGATTCGAATCAAAAATGATTTGATGTCCTTGTAAGTTTAAGTCGGATACTATCAAGGTAGTAGGATTGGAGATTTTATATTTTGATAGTCTTTATTCCTGAGATTATATTTGTTGTTGCATAAATTTATCGACAAGTAAGATCTAAGCAGGCTTTACCGTTAACGATTGAAGACTTTGAAACCAAGGGGTGTAAAACTAAGATTTTTTATTTATTTCTATCCGTTCACTTATGACGTCCAAAGGGGAGGGTGGGGGGGGGGGGGGGGGGGGGTCAGCAAGAAAAGAACAATAGAAATTCCAGGAAATCCAATGTTCCTTTTTGAAAATATGACCGTTAATTTCGAACGTTATAAGTGAACGACCCCCAAGTTAATTCTTGTTAAAGTCATTATTTTACCACATTCTTTAAATAAACAGTTGACACAAGAGAATCACTGTAACCTAATTTGACGAGCAAACAAAATGATATCCGCAAAATTCCTTAATATTTTAAAGGCAATGCGTAGGAGCTTAAATTTACAAAAATGCCCAAAGGAACATTTTTGACGAGAAAAAAAAAATCTCTTCGAATAAAAAGCAACATTTTGAGCATTTGTCTGAAAAATTCTGCATAATCATCAGCTATCCGCCCACCACCGTTGATATTTGAAAAGCTCATAAAATTTTCATCGTTAGGATTTTGATAAGACTTCTCTTATTAATTCATATAATTTTTTTTCATCATTCTCTCATGAACATTTAAGCAGAATTTTACTCTGTTTTTATTCGTTTATTAAATCGCTCGTGGCTTTACGTTATTTTTTATGTATTCAGCTTTTATTTTTGTGTAGTTACTGTTGCAAACGAGAGCACATGTATGTAAACATGGGACAATATTGAAATAATAATGAAAGACTCTTGTATGCTTTCAGGAAATTCATCAAAAATGCCAGAAGTTATACAAAGCGATGGTCCCATGGCTGCAGATGAGCCTGATTTCACAATGTTTGAAAACAAATCTGGATTGGCAGAGGATTTAAAATTTCTTGCTTCCATACCGGAATTGTGTGATGTGACATTTTTAATAGGCGAGACACGTGAACCAGTCTGTGCTGTCAAAGTGAGTATCCGTTAATGTACATGCGTACTGATTTAAATTATTAATTATTTCCGATGAAATGCAATATGGAAAAAATGTCATTTACATTCTCATTATGCATGTACATGACCAAAATCTCCCTTACCCCATGTTGATCCCTTTTTAGTCAGCACATTGTACACGGATGTTAAAAAAGAGGATCTTCAATGAAATATGAACAAAATGAGATGAAAATTGCTTAAATATTTAATTTTGCTTCTACCTCCCGAACACAGGCAATTTTGGCAGCTCGCTCACGCGTATTTCAAAAAATGTTGTATCAAGCACCATCGCCACAGCAGCAGCGGAGTAAAAAGGAAAAGGAGCCGCAACGTGAAACAAATAAACTACGTTTGTTTCTGAAACGTAGCAGTGAACCATTATTGAATTTACAAAATGCCGCGCAACAGGTACGAAATTGAGTGTTATAATTTTAGGTTCATATAATACACTGCCATCAGCTCATGAGCGCACATGATGTTGATGATGATGATGGGCGATGGAAATGACATTTATTATGAATTGGCCTGAATAGGCGCATTTGTTTAAGTTTTCAGTCAGGAATTTTTTTTAAGAAACGTGCATAGTTTCACACCCTTTAAAACAAAATTTTGATTAAAATAGACTTTCCAGCTAAAATCACAAAGTTTTGATGCGTCAGACTGATACCGAAATAACTCAGCCAGTTAGTCAAAAGGCTCATCAAAGCTCCATTCATTTCATAGAAAAATGCAGTCCAATAAAGGAAAAAGAGACGAGAAATGAAATGAAATGCTTTGTGCCATTTTGCTCATACTTATCCGCAATAAATAATGTTGACATGCATGGCGAAGGTATCATATAGCATATGTATATTGTTATATGCAATAACCATGCTCCATCTCTAATTTGTTTATATTTTGTCTCTCATAAAGCTCAATTAAAGGAATGAACTGAACTTCCTAATATTTTTTAAAGTAAAGGAATTTAAAAATCTTATTTCATTCAACTTCTTACCGTACATAAATGTCAAAAAGTTGTAAATGAAAAATTCAGGTCAAGAAGATTGTCAACGAGCATAAAATTTCTTTTTTTTGTTAATTTTATTTGAGTAAAATTGTTCCTTAACACAGTGAAACCCATCAAGCTTCCGCTCTTTTTAAATTTACTTTTATTTTGTGTTTTCTACATAGAGGTTCTGATGTAACGTGACTTGGATGAGGATGATGAGAGTGCTTTGTAAATAATTAATCAGGCAATTTCTAAGAACGGGAGAGAGTTGAGCCTATTGTAAGGGATTGTTGGTAATTCTAAACTGAATTACAAATATCTAAGAACAAAAGGCAAAGCTTTTGTTTTATAATTCTAGTTGCGAGCTCTTTTGCGAATCTAGTTCATGTCGACGTATAAGGAAGGTTCAGAATAATTAAAAACCATCTCCAAATATACCAGACAATTCAAAACTCAATAAAAAAAACACATCACAAGAAATTGACGAGCTAATGCACTAGTGCCAAAATAATCTCCTTACAAAAAGCAACCCTTATCCAAACACAGTCCATAAATCATACCATTTAATGTCAAATATTTTCATGACACGTAGACTGAGAATAAAATTCAACAAAACTTTTCGGTCGAAACCTCTATTTTAATAACATCCAAATAAAAGCTCTCGTCTACCTCCTTCAATGTCTAAAAAAACATATAAAGGCTGCCTACTGTGTAGAAATCTTCTTGCCTTTTCTTTTATGCGAGAACCTTTCTTCTTTACTCTCTATCTCTCTCAATGACAGAATACATGCAATGATAATTGTGTGTTCTTTCTCATGTTTTCAAGTCCTTTTAAAATTAAATGTTCTATTCAACTGGAAACCTCCCCGATTCTGCTCTTTATTCATTTTTCCTCGTCCCCTTTGTGTCTATATGTCCTCTTTCTACCCTTTTTATTATTTTTTTCATCTCTGCTACACTTTTATTTATATGAATGTATAAGGTAACATCCAACATTCAGCATATACAATTTTAGTAATAACGAAGAACAACAACAGTAGCTGCAGATATAGAGAATGAAAAATATGAAAAAGTCAAGGCGTGGACACTGGGATTAATCCCAATAATCCCAAATAATCCCAAATAATCCCAATAATCCCAATAATCCCAAATAATCCCAATAATCCCAAATAATCCCAATAATCCCAATAATCCCAGGTTTGGGATTATTGGGATTATTGGGATTATTAAAATAATTTTAAAATTTTTCAAATTTAAAATTTATTAAATGTTAAAATTTTGACTAGTATTGAAAAGAATAATGTCCCCAAAAATCTTTGGATACATTTTGAGTTCAGTATATTAATTTAAAAATTAGCTAAAGTAATGAACTAGCCTTAAAACGTCAAAAAGTGATTTTTTTACCAACTAAATCTAGTGCACTAGTCAAAAATTTACAAAAATCAATTTAAAATGTCTTTTAAATTTATATTTTATTGATTTACTATGCGTTCTAATCAAAATAATCGTGTATTAGCCCGAAAATCAATCAAACAATACATATTTCCTCAAAAAAAATTCTTCAAACTAGGTTTTTGATTCGACAAATCTAGTAAAGCTAGTAGCGTCCTCGGTGATAATGACAGCTATGGTTAAATTTTTGACTTTTTGGCTTTTATGGCGATAAACCAGAGATCGAAGCCGGATTTTTCTGTTTAACTCAATTTTTTCGACTTTTTTGATAGAAAAAAGCCATTTAGCGCCCATTTCAATTATTTAAATTGAATTTTACATACTTTACTATGATTTTTTTTTGTCAGAATGTAGCAATAGTAAGCTCAGAATTTCAAGTTAACCGATTTTTCTATAAAAAAAAATCAAAAATTGAGTTAAGCCGAAAAAATCGGCTTCTATCTCTGCAATAAACACTTAAAACGATGCATTAAGAAATAATAAGATCCAGTGAATACCAAATCTAACTTTGTTAAATCTTCAATTTATTGTCAACATTATGGGATCGGGCCATCGAGATCGAAATTGAAAATCCTGATTACAAGTTTATATGGGGAAAATATTAGGAACTTTTTTTAAAAAAAAAGTTTTTGAGATCTAGTACTTCAGCGTTATAGAATAATCAAAAACTATAAAACTTTATAATTTAAAATTTTCTTAATACCATTTCTAATGTTATATAACGTTGGATTTTCACACCAAAAAAGGGGCGAGCTTATTTTAAAATTTTTACATTTTTGACTATATCTTTTGTTACACTCAATGAATCGTACTTAAACTTTTACAGATTTTTAATCGTAGTTGTATCAGTAAACGCTGACCAAAAAATTTCAATCTCGATCCCGATTCCGAAAATTTTCTGCACCGGAATTTTGAGAAAGCATAATTGTCTGTCTACTAACTTTATAAAATTAAAAGATCCAAAAACAAAACTATACTTAACAGAAAGTACTAAAGTCTGCCCGTAATTGATTACGGGATATCATACTCGTATTAACGTAATAAGATTTGGTAACATCATTGAGTTGAACTGAATCTAGATCAGCAGGACTTATTTTAGTGGATAAATTAGATCATTGTTATTATTCAGATCTAAGGTAAAAAAAACCAGCCACCATTTTGAAAAAGGACATGACTTAGGAAAATTCTATATTGAATTTTTTTAACTGTGAAGGTTAAAAAACCCAAAATTTACTTAGTCATACAACACTATTGATTTTTTTAAAAATGATCTTAAAAAATAAAACAACTCAACGAAATTAATTGAAAAAATTGAGAAAATTATGTTCAAAAATATATTTCTCGGGAAGAGAAAGAACAAAACGAAAGTTTAAATATTTTTTCACATGCTTAAAATCGAAATTTTAACTTTTTTAAATCATTCATGAAAATATCCCAGTAACTTAAATAATACAGCAAATAGAAGTATGTATATAATATCGAAAACATGGTACATTTTGTAGAATTTGTTGGGGAAAATAATGGACATTTTAATAAATACAAAACTTTAACAAAAAATTATATAATAATTTATAACATACTTTAGACGAGCAATCTACCACAATAACCTTAAGATTCCTCAAAGTGAGGTTATTGTCTGAAATACTTAGTACAGTAGCTCATTAAACCCCAAAAAACTAGGAATAAAGCCAAAAACTTTCCTTAGACTGATGTTTTAATATGGACATTACTTAGGACACTAGTAACTGCAACTAAAAACGCTGAGGAAATGTCTAATCCATTTCCAAAAACCGATTGTTTAAATGAATCAGTCAAAATTCTATAAAAATTATCAGAGGTCGAAGCCGACTTGAGTTCGCTTCGGTTCGGCTAAAAACCGATTGAATTTTGTATGAAAAGTTATACTTCACAAGTGAAATCAGAAAAAATTCCATACAAAAATCAATCGGTTTTTAGCCGAACCGGAGCGAACTCAAGTCGGCTTCGACCTCTGAAAATTATTATATATGATCAAATTTATATTTTAATACTCAACAAACACTTCAAAATGATATATTTTCACATTGTTTAAACTTTACAAGTCACTCTGGCTTCAAATACCATATTTCTTACAGTTCATTTCCTCAAAAAATTCAAAATATTTGAATAATTTTTTTTCCAATAATCCCAATAATCCCAAATAATCCCAAATAATCCCAATAATCCCAATAATCCCAAATAATCCCAATAATCCCAATAATCCCGAATAATCCCAGCATATTTTTGAGTGTCCACGCCTTGGAAAAAGTTGAGGCATTAAAAACGTATATAGTAGCTGGATCAAGGGAATTCAATTGAAACAAACTGAGCAATTTTTTGGTTAAACAAACTAGGCTGTTGTCGAAAATTGAGCAATTTTTAATAAGTGAGCAAAAACTGAGCAATAAATTGAGCAAAACTCGAGAAAACTTAATTATTTTTCTAAAAAATTGAGCAATTTATCTTGGTTTGAGCAAACAGTTGAATAACTGAGCAACAATGTTTAAGTGCCTTCCCTTGATCAGTCGCCATACAACAAAAGAAATGAGAGATGAAAATATCTAATATTCAGAGTGTTATTGTAATAACAAATTGTTTTGTCTACATTGATATTGAACCGAAATATGAATCCCCATGTATTCTAACTTTAATGTTGAATGTATGTATAAATATACCTATTTGTAGAGAAGTGGCTTTACGCAACAGCTAGCCCCTATATCAGAGGTAAATATTGTAATTGAAATCCCTTTTTCTGTGTCTCTCTCAGCTTCCATTTCTTCCTCTTGCTCGTGCACAATAGTTTTTTTTTTCATAATTTATAAATAAATGTCTATGCACGTAGATGTGTGCCTTAAAGGACTAACTGTTATGTTTCATTTACTTTTCCATTTCAATGTTATATAATTTTTCGTTAATTAAACCCCTCGTAGCAAACATATTTAGCTTTTTTTCCATCCATAAACTGCCATAAACTTCTTAAGCAAATGCCTTAAGAGGAAATTTTCATAATAATTAAATGTTCATGCTTTCTCAGAGTTGTTATTGGATTTGACTTACTTTTTTTATATCAGATTAGATTTTTCTTTGGTTAGTCGGATGAAATACAGTTTTTTTTATGTTATAAAGCTTCGCTGTTTTTTTTTTACGGATTTATTTCTTGGGGGCATTTTTACTCAGAATATTCAAAATCAAGCTTCGCAATAGATGTTTGCTTTCTTTTCGTTGAACGAACGCAAATATGATTTCCAGTTAATTTAAATTTTTTTTTGAACTTGGAGTGGGGATACTTCTTTAATTTTTGATACTTTTTGATGAATCTCAAAAGCAGATGAATGAGTTTGTGAAAAACATTCATGATTAAGTGACAGCACATTCTCAGAAATAATTCAATATGTTTGTCACCCAGCCAACAACTCTGAATAAACTCATTTTTTAATGAAATTAGTCTGATGAATAAATATTCACTCATAAGGGAAATTCGCAATAATTAATGTTTGTAAAAGTTTATGATTGTACAGCAGATACTGTATAATAATTATTGTCGTTAATTAAAAATTATTGAGTTCGTTTATTGATTGATTAAATTTGGAGAATAATTGAAAAAAGCTTTTTTCCTTCCTCTGTGCATACAGTAATAAATTTTGACGATGAAACTTTCAGCATCGCTGCTGAATGGAAAATTTTCTTTTTGTATGTTAACAGCGGAAAAAATCTAATTATTTTAATTTAATCTTTCTTGTTCCTTTCTACGTCCCTCACACAAAACCGCTTTATTCAGTGAAATAAAATCACTTTCATGTTTAGTAATTTGCTATGTAGCATTCATCTGGTGTGGATTTCATACTTAGTAACTTCACAAAGCAAAATTTTAAAGAGTTTGAGTAATTTAATTTTGTTCTTTATCTCTTCATGATGTTTGTAGGCTTCATAAATTTCCTCATGTAGGGTGTCTATGGTTTGAATAATTATTTAATATCAATTTTCTAGTTGAACAAACTTTTAATTGAATTTGATTTTTTTAAACAAAATTTTAGAAAAAAATTATTAATTATTTAAATCGGATGTCTCCTCACGCCTGTTTTTGGATTTTCTACAAATATGGAGGAACATAATAAAGTTTTCCTATTTCTATGGTTTCATGATAATATTAAAATCTTTCAAAAAGCCATTGCACAATGATTCAGAATCGGAAAAAATGTTCAAAAATTCAAAAATAACATATTAATTAAACTTCATCTTTTAAATGCCAGATTAAAGATCTTAACTTAAGGCATATCCTATGAAAATATCTCGTCCCAATTTGATGTCTAACTCCAGAAATCATTAATTTAATCTCACCCAAAATTTGTTTACAATTTGTGTATGAAAAAAAAATATGATTTTTTCTACTTTAAGTTGTTATTTGGATGTCTTGAAAGCAGTTGCTAGCTAATTTAAGCTTAGCTTTACATATTAAAACAACAAACTCAATAGAAATCTGCTTATTAAGCCTTAAAAATGAATTGAAATCTGAGTATTTTTACAAAACTTAAACTATTCATAAGTTAAAAAGTCTTCCAAAGACCTCTCTGAAACCTATACAAATCAATTAATTAAGCTTAAATCTATCTCCCATACAACTGGGGACATGCCGTTTGATGCCGTTTTCGAGATATTTGCGATCAAAGTTTACATCAATTTTCATACAAAATTTGATCATGCACAATATTTTTTGATAAACTTTTACAAAGTTTTGGTAAAAAATCATGTTTATCCTTTATATTAAGGACTGATTTTTTGAGCAATGAACGAAAACATTATCTAGAAGATGCTAAAAGATTCAAATCAAGAGAAATTAACAAAAACTTTCAATTTTCTAATGTGTCGGAAAAGTATTGTGCACAAGGAATTTTTGAACATTTTTTCCGAATCTGAATCATTGTGCATTGAAAGTAGGGTTGGGCAAATATTCGAATATATTCGAATGTATTCGAATACGAACAAAAAATATTCGAATATATTCGAATATTAGAAATTCATAAATGAAAAAATACGTTATTTGTTAATTAGCATTTTTCAACTGCCTGTAATTTGTAAATGATAAACAATTTATATATGAGAATTAAAGACATTTAATTGTTAAATATGCTATAATTAATGATTTTTTGTGTATCCTTTGGCGGGAAGCTTTCAAAAAATTACTGACTGTTAGAAAATTTGAATCTCAAAAAACCGTTTAACGATACCCTTTTTTATATGGAAATTCGTTGGAACAAATCATGTAATTATACTATAACTAATGTTTTCGTAGTACAACTTTTAGCGAAAAAATTTTCAAATACTTATTGACCGTTAAAAATTTTAAAACCGTTAAATGGTTTCGGCACTTCTCTTTTCCTTTAAAAAGCAACTTCAAATATTATTTGATATCAAAATTTTTCATCTGAAAAAATCATGTTAAATAATTACTAAAATAGATCTAATTTTAATGGAAAAGCAATGGAAGTACTTACTTTAGCCGAATACGTCGATATTTTAGTTGTAAGTTATTTAATTAATTGTTAAACATTTAAAGAAAAAAATACGATTAATAACGGTTATTTTTTGAATTATGTACATTCGAATATATATTCGAATATATGCGCACATTTATGTGCGCACATTATATTCGAATATATTCGAATACGATTCTGCCCAACCCTATTTGAAAGTAATCAAAACTTTTTCCACATCCAATTTTTTCCCAACTTCTTGCCAAGTTTTTTATTTTCAAGAATAATAAACATGAAATAGCATATTATCTGTTCCTAAAAGAGAGAGTTTTATGTTTAAGCACATCTGAGCTCTTCGGTTGTTTTTTAGAATATGAAATTTCTTTACCTAGTTTTTACATTAAATTGGATTTTGTAGCCTTTTGGTTTTTTTTGGTCAGTGAATATTAAGCAATTTGCTTGAGAAGCAACAAGTTTGCTTTGTTTTTCTGTTGAAATTTATCTTTGGTTTTATTTTTCAATTTATGTGTTTTCCAATTGAATTTAGAGTTTTTATCATTAGATGACTTTAAAACTATTGGTTATGATAAGCACAATGCTTATTCAATTATTAAGTTTAATTAAAGACTCCTTGCTGATTTTATTAATGGACAACTGTTGACAACGATGTTTATTGTTCGAAGTTCAAATACAGAATAAATATTTCTATGAAAGGGTTTATATCTATTCAAGGGGAAATCAACTAATAGTAGTTTTATGTATAATTTAAATATAAAGTAATCGTTAAAATATTCTCAAAATTTTTTTTTTGGAATTTTCCAAAATTTTCCAATTCCTTAAAAAGATCAAAAAAGTCGCTTTAAAATTTTTCCATTACAAAGATTGCCATGAACTTTGAATGAAAAAGTTGACATTTTCATATAATAAGCTTCCAGCAATTTTGAAACAAGCACACGAAAATGTAATATTGTCAACATCAAACATGTAAGTTCTTAATTCAGAAAATATTTCAGTCAAAAAAAAAGTAATTTGAAATTTTCTTTCATACTTTTTCAAGAGCATCACTTCAGCAAACACTAACGACTTTTTCATTCCAAACACTTTAATCTACAAAGCACCCTAAGAAATCAGTCTCGTTCTCTAAGAGACATAAATTTCACGAAGGATTCTAAAATGTTATACCTACTTTGATTGCAATAAACTTTTCAGTATGGTGTCGAAAAGGTTGTTCATATGATTCCCATGACAATATTTATTCTAGAAATTTTCCACTGACTATTACATAGAAAATCGGAAAAGAGATTTCATACAATCGCTTAACTTCTATAGCCATAAAATTTTTTATTTGGATGAACTGACTCTCCATGTCAAGATTTTCATAGGAAGGGTGGATTTCGGTGAAGAGGATTTGTAGTATTGATAATCCAAAAATCTGATGGAGATTCCACATCCAGTGTTCTTGGGCCACTTGACATTTTACCAAAGCATTCCCATATGAAAATTAATCACCCATAAATGGACATGAAAAAGCCCTTAAAGAACATTTTTATGCCTCTATCCCTCAATTTCATTTCCTTTCCACTTAACTTAAAATCTTCTATCCAACTTGATTGAATTATAAAAAAAATTTTAGCCATTAAATTTTATCGTCTACCTTTTTTTGCCTCTTTCCTGCCTCCTTCATACAAGCAGAAAATAAAGAAATTCCCCATTGCTTGTGGGTGTAAATTCAGTTAACTTTAATTCTTTTTTCATTCTCTCTAGATAACTGCTGTCTGCACCATCATATAATTGGATATAATAATAAAAAAAATAATATAAATTTCTCTCTCATCTCATCGCACAAGCACATTATTTTGATCTTTCTCAATCTTTTTTTTTTTCTTCTCTAAATTACACGCATAATAGTCAATAACTGAATCTTTCTTCAATACCCTTTATACATAATATTTCTATTATTTGCCATTATTATCATCATCTTCATCATAATAATAATTTTCAACTTTTCTCTTTCCTCTATTCTATAACAATTCACGTAGCCAACTGGTCAACAACATCAGACGTTAATCATTGAAGAATTTGAGCCTGATGTTTTTCGGCAGCTCATTGAATACATTCATACTGGTCAAGTGTGCTTACAACCTCGCACGTTATTAGGTGTAATGAATGCAAGCGATTATTACGGTTTGGAAGAGCTACGTCGTGCTTGTTCGGGATTTGTTCAGTCTTGCATAAATGTCGATACAGTTTGTGCTCTATTAAGTTCAGCGGAGAAGTACATTCAATATAAGTGCACAAAGTCACTCGTACAGAAAGTTTTAGAATTCGTTGATGAGCATGGAAATGAGGTATTGAATTTGGGTTCATTTACTCTTTTACCGCAACACGTTGTGCGACTGATTTTGGTACGAGATGAGCTACAGGCTGATGAGTTTACGAAATTTCAAGCAGCTTTAATGTGGAGTAAAAAATTCTGCGATGCAAATCCATTGGTAAGTCCCTAATGCTTATGTCTACAATTTATGTCATTTTAAAGAGGGGAGCTTTAAATGAGTGTTTAATATAGATTGATATTGATGGATCGATGAGATGGAATGAATGAGTTTGTCAATATATACTTTATAATTTTGTGTTTATGCCTCCATTACATTCTCTTTCTCTCTTTTTTTCCCCGTTCATTCATTTAGACACCTCTCAAAGATGTAATCAGCAACTTTTTAGAGTATATACAATTTCACAAAATACCTGCAAATGTTTTAATGCGAGAAGTTCATCCATTGGGAGTCGGTAAATACGTAAATTTATTTATACAATGTTATCTGTCTTATTCAATTGACTTTTTTTCATCCAACACTTTTCCAACAATGACTGCAATGTTTGCACTTTAATTTCTAGCAAGAAACCTTTATACAATGTTATATTCTGTCCATTTATTTATCTCGCTAGCGTAACATTAATCTATTCTGATAGAAAATGTCAGAATAAATCAGAAATATTTTAAAATCTTAATTTAAAATTTTAATGGGTTTTTTTTCCTCTTAAACTCGCGATTATTCTATTTTGTCTACTGGAACTATCTTTGCTTTATTTCTCTGTACTTTCCATTAACAACAGAAACTGTAGATTTCAATTATAATAATTTGAATTCATAGAACAAGCTTGCCAGTTATCCCTTAATTCACAAAGCTTACCCTTTAAAATGTTTGCATAGTTTAAATACGCTGTAAAATTCCAAAAACCATAACAAATTTTAAACTCATTCTTATTGATTATTTTCTTCTCCATCTACTTTCTACCATTCAATGCTTCTTTTCATGTACCGCAGTACCGTATTCAATTATAATGAATGCTCTCGCATACCAAGCAGATCCTGCCTCTGTTGATCCAGGTAAGCTCTCACCCAACTCGAGTCGTGTACGGAGAGCTCGTCAATCACACGGTCGTTCAATGTCGGTACAGAGTTCATTAGATCCTTATGGTTCGAATACAACATTAAGTTCAAGTGGGAGCAGTGGCGAAGCTGTAAGTGCTCCACACAGCAAATAGCATCGGCTTAAAGACCCTCATGCAGAGGGTCGATTGCGAAAAGCAAAATCGCAAAGTTTTCGTACACGTCGTAGTCCGTCTGAGAGAAGAAGTCCATCTGGTTCTGCACAATGGAATTTAAGCATTGAACAAGCACGATTAACGAAAAGGAATTCCATCGGTCAACGTAGTACAAGTAATTCGATGTATGAAACAGCAAAAAGTCCAACACCATCAAGCACGTCACAAAAGAGTTCATTATCAAGACAAGGAACCGTGCGTGCATCACATCGTCGAAAGAATAGCGCAAGTCAATCATTAAATTTGAGTGATAGAAGAAGTCCATTAATGCCATTAGATCGAAGTCCATCGGGAAGGAAAAGCCCCAATTTTTTATCACACGATTTAAGTCAATTTCCAGATGATAGAAAAAGCCCAACGAGAAGTCCGACTGGGCGTCGTAGTCCTTTGGGATTCTCTCAAAACTTTTGCTTGCCAATTACAACCCCAGATATTCGAAGAAGCAGCCCATCGAAAGAAATGGCAATACAAAGTTGGAATGAGCGCCAAAAAAGTCCAACATCATCAGTTCATATGCTTGATAGGAAAAGTCCCGTGGGATTTACTGGACCAAATACAGGTGGATTTTTCTTAGATCCCCGTCGTAGTCCAATTAATCAACTTCCAATTCCTATTCCACCAATTACTATCTCAAATCCATCTGAAACTTGTGGACTATCCCCTAAATCAGTCGATTCAGGACGTTTTTCACCGAGAATTCCTGGTCCACCATACACATCACGAGATCATTCACCACTTAGAGAATATGAACAAATGCTTCTTCATGAACAGAACCTTAAAGCTGACAAGGAAAAGTCAGAAAAATCAGAAAAGAAGGAAAAGACGAGTGTAATGCGTGAAATATTAGCATTTGTGAGGAAGCCATCAAAAAAAGTGTCAACACGTACAAGTAGATTTGCTGCTGCCTTTTCAAAGTCATCAAATAATGATTCCAATGCTCCACTTGTACGTCAAAGTACATTCTCAAACATGCCAAATTCATCGAGTCGTGCTGGAAAAGCGGCTATAACGAAGCAAATGTCATACGAGCCAAAAATATCATCAAAATTGAAAAGTGTTGGAAGTAAAATGTCGTTGAGATTACGACGAGCAACGGAAATTAAAAAGGATAAAAAGAGCAGTGGAGATGAGATAAGTGATTTAGAGAGTAGTGAGAAGTTGGGTGATGAAATTAGCGATTTTGAGAGTAGTGGGATGTATTGTGAGTTTGAGAATGTATATTTTGAGAAGGTCGGACATAAGAAAGTTGAACAAATTGTCGAAGAGGATGACTCACATGAGAAAATTAATGATGGTGCTTCTACTAGTAAGAATGGACTTGAAAAACCTAGAAATTTATATGAGGAACTAAAGAAATCAATTGAGACTTTATTTGAGCATAAAGAACCAATCTTCGAGAGTATTGACTCAGACCATTACCGGCGAGAAAAGAGTCAAAGCATTGATAATGATGAGCTATTCAATTTAAAGACAACAATTCAATGTCCAATTTCTATTCAATTTGAGCCACCATCACGTAGATCTTCATTTGATCCACCTAGATCACCATTCCTTGAAAATTTTAGGAGTTTAAGTGATACAGACCACGACGTTCCAAGTGGTGAAAGTTTTGAGGTTGTCGAAACATGTCATAGAGAATCAAGCTTCGAAGATAGACATTCGTCAATGGATACAAGTTTTGACATATCTCGATATCAATCGACAAGTTACGAAGATCAAACATCAAGTTTCGAGATTGTCGAGTCACATTTATCAGATTCGCAAACACCACAGCCAAGCACACAACAACAACAATCGTCAGTATTACCAGTTGTAAAAGAAGATAGACTAAGAGCATCAAACATCAATTTATCGAAATCTTCAATAGAAATTGTTGATCCTGAAACATTTCAAAAGTCATCGTCAGGTTGCGGAAGGAAGTCGTCACTCGAGACACATTTTGACTTATCGGAAAGTTATCATAAATCTGGTAGTGCTTTTGTATCAACAGGTAAATCACACGAGTGTTTTCCCATTGGAATGAAAGCAATACATCAAGCATCACTTTTACAACAGCCATCTCATCATCGTACGAAAAGTCCAATATTATCTAATCAAACATCATCGAATTATAGTTCACGTGATAGCTATGAATCGTCATCAACTTATGAGCCAATACCACATTCCCATTCACAAATGACTGACTCAAAGAATCCATTTGCAGACATGACAAAGCATCATTATCCGCTTCCGAGAAAGTATTCGAATGATAAAACTTTTCTATGCATTGATAAACGTTGTGCCTCAATATTTGAGCCACGTTTACAATCACCACGTACATCCATAACATCAGCTACAGGTAATATGAATCAACAGCAATTGCTAAACACAACTGATACATCAAGTGGAAGTGAATTTGAGGCACCATCACCACGTCGTGCTTTGTCAGCATCCCCAAAACATACATTTACATTTCGAATTGTTATGAAGAAGGTTGAGAGCTCACCAGAGGATTTATGTGTAACAAATAATGCAGAACGACATACTGTACGTCAACAAAGGGAAAGGGAACGACAAAAACGTGACAGTCGACGTCGTAAAATGCGATTGAATGACGGAAAAGGAAAAAGTTTTTAAAAAAAAATCTCTTGATTTAATTTACATTCATAATTTTCTGTGTTGTTGCTGTTGAATCCAAAAACATAAAAAAATTAATAGAATGAAATTTATATGATAACATGTATAACATAAAGACATTCCTCAACATCATCCTCGATGTGAAACAAATCCTAAATTCTAAATTTTTAAGTATAAAGCTGGTAGGTGAAAAAAATGTAGGTCACACAAAAAAAGGAGGTATGTAAGAATAAGAAGATGAAAAAAAAAGTTTATGAATAATGAAGCACTGATTAGAGTTAATGGAACATGACATTATTATGTCGATTGCCAAAAAAAAAGTTGAAAAATTAAATTTATGATGCTAAACATGTGCAGCTAAAAACATAGAAGAAAAATGCTATAGAATTCTCAAAAGGATGTGGGGAAGTTGTGGTAGATAGGTGCTATATTTATGTAGTGGACGAGCAGCTTAGGCACTTGACAATGATTCCTCAATTTTGAAGTACTAATTTTCGATTTATTTGTCTAAAGCACTTGACTTATCCAGAAGTATACATAGAATATCCTTCCAATAATTGAATTCTGAAGAATCAAGCCATTTGATGGCAAATCTACCAGCCAGGAGTAAGGTTTCTATATGGATGATTGCTTTGGCAATAGTTATGAAATCTAATATCATCTCTTTTGCTGAAAGATAGCTTGGATTCTCTTTTGAATCAAATGACCTCAAACCAGACTAACAAGTCAAGCAGACTACAGCCCTGTGATTACCTTTTCAAAAATCAATAATTGCATTTTAAAAGGTAATTTTTCATATAAATGAATAATCATTAAAAGTTAAAAGTTCAAAAAACACAAAGAGCAAACAACTCTGACATTTCATGATCATCACAAATGCCTCCCACACCTATAAACCCACCTAACGACCATCAATTTCCCCTCTCCTGTTTGGAAACTGTTATTTAGTTTTAAAGCATTTAAAAATTGATTTCAAAGTTAAAAAAAATGAAATTAAAATAATTTTCGAATTCATCAATTATTTCCAATTTTCATTGCCATTACCCAACCTCGATTCATTATGATCAAAACAAATATTTATTCATGATATAGATAGAAAAAAATTTAAAAATTGACGAATTTATTCAGAGAGAAAAATTATCATTCAATATTATTCTGTTATCATCATCGTATATTTATAGGTACGGAACTGTACAATGCGAAATAAAAGTATAAAAATAATTCAAATTTTATGTAGAGAAAGAACAAAAACAAAAAAAAAATGTTAAATGAAAATGAAAATTTATGCATTGAAAAAGATAATTCAATTTTCATCATTCAGAATCAGCGGTGTTGCCAGGAGATGGTAAATTTTACTTTTTTTTTTGTTCAAAGTTGATGGATTGGAATAAAATTAATTGGATGAATTCAAAGAATTTTTTTTGGCTAAATTATTCTGGCATATGCTCGTATCATGTGCATAAAATATGTTCAACAGGGGAAGTACGTTATTGTTTTTGTGGGATTCTGTTGCTTAAATTGTGGTCTAGCTAAACTTAGATTCATAATAATTTGCATTAATGGCATAGTTGGTCAATGATCTAGATCACTGTGTTTGCATTGTGATGTCAATGGGTTCGAATCCCAACCACAAAATCTCAGAAAACTATTTATAAAGATTGTCGCTTAAGTTCTTTGTCATGTATTCTTTTTTTAACTTCCAGTATTGAGTTCCAAAAGTCCTACCTGCAATTAATCACAAAAGTTTTCATATAAAGACTATTGTCAGTGACCAATCAAAGTTCTCAAACCAATTTTGTGCTCAACAATGAAAGTAATCCACAACCAAAAGCTATCCATCCCCTGACTTCATCAAGCCTGATGCCTGAATTTGTTACTTCATGAAATGTTTGGGAGATGATGAAAAAAATTGTAGCTGATAACTTTTTTTTGAAGTAAAAAATCACGAACATCCATTATATTACTCGAAAACCTCTCGCATGTTATTAAAAAATCAAGTCAGAACTTCAAAAATTTAAATAGAATAAGATAAAAAGTTTTTTTGCTGCCTGAAACTCTTTCCAAAAAAAAGCAATTCAATTTAGTATTCTACAGATGTTTATGATGATTTCATGATTTTTGTGTGTGCTTCCTTTTCCCAACCCCACATCCCATTCAATTAGAAATTAGAATGAAATTGGAATGAAATCGAAAAAAATGGTTTCTATGATGAAAGAAGTATTTCGTATGAAATTAAGCATAAAAGAAACTTTTTATCTATCTGCACACATAGACGTTACTTCAATTAGTGTATTTTTCCCCATTTGTGATTCCTTCATTCCATC